GTGCATTGAATTGGATTGTATGGCATTGTTACAAGAACTACAAATAGGATGTCAAAGTCACCAGATTGAATCATCAAGTAGAAAACTTGGAGATATGAGAGGGGTTTTGGTGCTGGGATAATCATATCCCACACATCCATTTCTAACTACAGTGCCCTCCAAATTCTACAGATGAAGCTTAATAGAATATTTTATTCTCTTTCTCATCTCCTAAAAGCATGGGTTTTGCTCATTTTTTGCTACTGTGTGGAACAGCGATGGCGCTGAATTTAAAAGATGAGTTTTTTCATTTCTACTGAAAAAAAAAAAAATCAGCAAGAGTGGATTCTTGGAACTTGGCTGGCTCATTCATCATGGGGAGCATAGGTGTCATGGGGCTGATCTGGGATTGGCATTGATAAGAAAACAGGCCTCAACTTTTAGAGCATCTGGTATTTTGTGAAAGCTGTTGTTTAATTCTTACATGTAACATATAGCTCATATCAAGGAAGTATTAAGCAAAGTGTTCTTATTAGCTACAGTCTCAACCACAGTTTGCAGAAGTGAAGAGGTCAAAACCAGCTTGTGAACCACACTAACAATCTCAACATCAAAGTGATGGTAAAAGACAGATTTGCAGTCACAGCAAAAGTTCAACCACTTTTTCCTTACCAGGATCATCTTTCCCTGCTGCATCCAGAAACACCAAACTGCTGTTCTCCCTTTAAACAGTGACATTTCTATGCCATTAGAAGAGCTGACACAGTGTAGGGGGCAGAAGGACATCAGAGCCCAGTATACCCACCCACAGTCAGCACTTGCATAAAAGTCAGCTGCAAACGTCCTCATAAAATTTTATTTAAAAAGAAAGTCCCCAGAGAATCCCACTGACAAAGTAGTAGTTCCTGTTCTCCACTGATGATCTGGGAAAAAAATGTAAAACTAAAGGAACTACTTAAGGTATAACCTTCTTCTGTAAGCCCTTCTGCCCTGCTGTAACATTCACTCAGTGCAACAGGAAGATTTTCTCCACCTTCCAGTAAACTTCAGGTCACAATATTTTTTGGAATTTCGGTTCTGCATTTTAGAAGTTTCATGACAGTTATTTGCTATTGGTACAATTACAACAGAAATAAATTTGGCTTTTAAGGCCAAAATAGACCCTGATGCCAAGAGGGAGGCCATACATAAGATATCATCTGTCTGTCTCAATCCTGGAAATTTTATCATCTATTCAACTTGCTTGATTTTGTTGCTGTTGTTCAAAAGTAGTTTTGAAACATAAAAAAACCCAACCAAACAAAAAAGATAAAACTTAATTTTCCAGCATTCTCAGACCTATAAAACAAAGAGGAAGATACAAAACTCACAAACAGTTTCATTTTGAAAAAAGAATTTTGTAGCAGAAGAGTATCGATAGATGCTTTCACATGCTGGACTGTTTTTTGGCTCAGCTCCATGAGTCCTCTGAACCACACTGCTTTGCACCTCCCAACTGGGAGAGCAAAGTGTGCTTTGTGCCAGTATGAGTGAGAAAGTGAAAGGGGGATCTTGCTCAACCAACAAACCCAGTACTCAGCCAATGGGAAACATCTTTATTTGGAAACCTACGAAAGCCTCTGACAGGTTTTCGCAAGAGACACGGAACAAATCAGGTCACTGTGGTACAAATAAGGATACCTGTAAAGCCTTGGCAATGCTTCCAAGAGGACACCCAGCATAATTTGGATGCTGCTTCCCTGGTCTCTCGCAACTATAGTGGTGACCTGCCACCTACATTGAATTTAGCAATGAAACACTAACCGAAAGAAGGGACAATCCAACCAGTGACTCACATTGCCAGAAGCTAATGGAACTTTACTTTCCGTGGTCAAAACCAAAAGATTAAGAGGGCAAAGCACTCCTTTCAACCCAGCCCTTACCCAGAGTTCTTAGTGTACAAAAGGGGACATAAAGCACAGCTCTGCAGGCAAAGAAGGTTCAACCAGCCTTTACAAACCCATCACAGAACTTCTATGTGCTCCATGCCATGTTGGTAGCACATTATACCAAAAGCTCTAGGCCTTGTTTGTGCAAACATCCAAGTGTGGCACCTCTAAAATGCTGTCTGTAAGAAAAATTAATTAACCCTCCAAAATGTCTCAGGGTGATGATTAATGGCCCAGTGGTTAATTGGAGATCCTGCACTGCTACCAGAAGCCCCTAGCCTGCACGGTGCAAGTGGCAATGCACACTCCAGTGACGTGAGTAAGAAGAGGAAAATAAAGAGGAAAACAAAGAGTGACTAAGAAGGAAAGGCATGATCCTTATGTAAGGTACAGTGTAGTGAAAAATAACCTTACATCATTACTTTTTAGTAAGGAAGCAGTTGTAAGTCTACATTTAAACTAAATACCTGAAACATTAGTGTGGTTGAATGTATTCTCTAACTTGCTCCTTGGAGTAACGCCCTTAGTACCTTTTAGCTAAATATTCCAAACTAAACTTTGCATACAAACATTTTAGTGTCTCAGATGAAAAGCACCTGGGCCCGTCATGTGAATGTCTCACCACCTTAGGAACCCTGAGTGAGATTCAGCTGACAGGGGAGTTGTGGAAACCCTCACCCACACACTGTGGGATTCAGGACCAGACTGCAAAGAGCAGCTCGTTCCCAAAGTGAGCATGTAGTTTACATGAGAAAAGATAAAGATCGGCTCATCCATGAATCAGAAAGTGGACTTGCCCTGTGAATACTCCTGGGTCTGAGAAATCCAACGAAAATGCAGTTTAATCTTCATAGCTGCCATTGCAGCCTTTCTGTGTGTGGGTTGTATTTGACCGTCAATTGAGAAAAATCTCCGCATTAGCCACAGAAAATTTTCTTTGCTACTGCTTTCTTTTGAGAGTATAGCACACATTCTTCAAAAAGAATATGCCTTCAGTTTGATTTACAAAGTCTCCTCACCTCAGTCAGCCAGGTGTCAAGAAACAGATGTGGTTTGTGAACTGAAAGTCAGTGCCTAAATCAGCACAGAGAGGGAGACACATACCTCACCCAGCCAAAGGGAGTCTCTCAGCCTCGGTGCCATCCTGCGAAGCACCAGAGATAACACCAGGATCGAGCCCGAGGGGCAGCAGAGGGAGGAGAAAGTACCAGGATGACAGAGGTTTGCAGTCTTGTTCTCTTACTGCCTTTTCTGCCCCTTCTCAGAATTTTCCTGTCTCCTTGATACATTAGAGACCATATTACATTAACTCATTTGGATACACTAACAAATATATATAGATACCATAAAATTCACCTTTTCTCCAGTTCTTACAGAATCTTCCCTTTCCCAGCTGAACAGAACTGGGATGCCAGCTAGTAACAGATGCCCAGCCCACTGTCCAAGCAGAACAATCTTCAAGCAGGACCAGCATAAAGAGTATGGTCCTATTCAAACCCAGCAACCAAGCTCAGATGCAGGCAGTTTATGGCATAGGGCTCAAGCTGACCAAAAACTTGCATAAGCTCATCACATTTTTAGAGTCTTCCATTTGGCATTTGGATGTAATCAGTGAAAAAGGATGAAAGTTTGAGTACAAACAAGATGGACAAAAGACTATGGAAAGAACATATAATAAAGGATAAAAAAGGATCTGAAAGCAGAAAAAAACAAATATCAATGCCTGGAAGTTACTTAAATCATTCTTTCTCATTATTACATTACAGGAAAAAGAGAATTTTGGGGTTTTTCTCAGTGCTGAGAAATTCGAGTTGGATTCTTGCCTCAGTAAGTCAATGCAAATACCAAGTAACACTGTTCACCTCAACAGTTCTCTGTATTTTAGCAAGAGTCCTTGAGAATACAATCAAATGCAGGCAGACACAGTGTCCTCTCAGATGAGCTGTCACCTGCTATCACAGGTTCAATTAAACATGCAGAACCAAAATAGCTCTGGAATCAGTGTCAGACAGTGACTGATAGCTGGGAAAGTGCCAAAGGAATTATTACATTCCATTCATTTTAATATATATTACAAAATCTGTTGGCATTCAAGGAGCATGTGGGTGACACATGGTTTAGTTTTAGATAGTCCTGTGAGGAGCAGAGAGTTGGACTCAATGATCCTTGTGGTTCCCTTCCAGCTCGAGATATTCTATGACTTGATAAGTGAACAGCATTATCTCAGGCAGGAGTAGGTGATTTCATGGACAAAGGTCAACAAACAAATTACAAAGGAAATAGGCAGGGATGGCCAGTCTCACATCACTAATCTAATAACTTTGACTGTTGAGGAGTAGGAGGCAAAAAGGGCTACAAAATGTGGCCAAGGCTGAAGGCAAAGGACTGGCTGAGCTGGGCAACTCCTCAGACCCAGGGAATTTCATATGTTTTTCATATTGAAGTTTATGTCCCTAAAGTTACTGTTCCATTTTACTGTGTATGAACCAAGATGCTGCCTTCCTCTGATTGGATAATTTACTGTTATTTAAAAATATTTACAAATTACATTTTCCTACTGTACTGCTCACATTCCTAAGTAATTATTATATGCCTCCTTCCAGACCTACATGTTGTAGGACCAGGGTGGGAGTGGATCTAGATTTGTAGGCACATCCTTTTTGTGAAAACCTGCACATTTCAGAGAGTGTACTCCGCTGCTGTGAGTCCCACAGAATCTTCTGAAGCTGACTGTGGGCCATCTCCATCCTCAGTAGAACTGTGAGAACCTGCCTAAGCAAAAAACCTGAGAAATTTGCCAACCAACAAGTCAAGGGTGTTTTACTTTATAAACCCCAAGTATGTAGTGGGGAAACATTCAAATCTTACAACACTGGTATCTGCTCTCTGTCTCCTCTGTCATTACCCACACATAGCTACTGCTCCATCTTTAATACAGACCAGTTTGAAGGACAAGTGGGTCTAAAGCCACCTATCCTGTCAAATAGATCCAAAATTCTTTGGGAACAGAATTATCTCTAATTAACAGAATTATCACAATCTCTTGATTATGTGCCAGTCAAGCACCAAACTGTAGTTTCGATCTTGATTTACTGCTGCCTTTGGGCAAAGACAGTCCAGTTCCTTTAAGGGAATGTGGATGCTGAAAGAAAGCCAACTGGAGGCGATTTCAAAGGAGGTGTCAGAGCAAGCTGAAGTACCAGAAAAACAGGAAAAGCATAAAACCTAAACAGAGTCCAGCAGCTGCAATACACACAGGGACGGCCAGAAGAGAGACTGGAAACACTAAAAGGAGACTTTTCCCCTGGAAGTAAGAAAGGAAGAGCTCCAGCAGACAAGGTATGATTATATATGAACACTGGAAATCAGAAATCCTCCAGTGACAAGGGAAACTGGGAGGAAAGAAGAGAGCTGTCTGGTGGGGAAATGGCAGGCTGGGTCAGACTGTGTGGGAGAAGAGCTGACAGCTCGGGCACCAAGAATTGCAGGAGGAAACAGAGAATTGTTTTGCTGCTGAATAACACCAAGGCATCCTACCATATCTTGAAAAGTTAAGAAAAGCCTAGATTTATAAAATATGAAGTGACTATATGGGGTGACTAAATGGGAACAAGTTGGATCCTTTCCCCTAATGCCAAAGGCACAGCTCTTGCTGTCAGAGGTTTGTGGTTGTGAATGCAGAAAGGAGTGGTTATACGAGCAGCTGCAGAGCTGAGCCGGGGCTGCACTGACGGCCAAGGGCTGGGGTGTGAGGGGAACACACACCCCAGTGTGGATGGGGTGGCACCCACCTCCCACTCCCCAAGGGCAGAGTGGGCTGCCCCTGAGAGCCCTCAGCCCACTGCCTTTCCCAGCTCAGCACCAGTGGCAGGTTTTTTTCTGCACAGCTGCTTCAGTCAAGTGGGAAACTTTTCATCTGACTTCCCTGCCAGCCTAACACAGGCACCTCAAAGAGTAAAACTACCGACCAGAGGTACATGTCTAGCCAAAACCCCCAAACAGTGCATGTGCTGGGGCTGGAGGGATGCAGAGACCAGGGCACACCTGAAGTTCTTCTGTATACAGTCAAACCATAAATTACTAATTAGGTGCAGTCCTGCCACCAATGGGCAGCATCAGAGGGGCAGCACACAGCACCCTGCAAGCCCTGGGCAGACAGCAGCTTGCCCCACTCACCTCCAAGGTGGGGAACATTTTGAAAGGATCCATGAGACCTTCTGCCCTTGTGTCACACAGCCTGCTGTGGGGAGAGCAAACATGGCAAGTCCCAAAACAGACTGGAGCACAGAATCTAGGATGGGAAGGGAAAAGTATGGCCTGGCTAAGTCACAGAGCTATACAAATGGCCTTCATTACAGTGCAAGAGATGCTCTTCACCCCACTCTTTTTGATGCCTTTCTCAGAATCTCAGGATACCACATGAAGCGTTCACTTGGCATCAGGGTGCTGTAAAGCTTTAATGATTATCATGTGAAAGAAAAGCAAGGGGATGTTATGGTGACTAAATGAGTGTTATTCTGGGCAGGGCCGAAACTAGTCCTGCCAAAGCCACCTTTGCAGCAGACCGATATTACAACAACTGGGAAGGGAGGAGGAGTAGAAACGCTTCCTTCCTTAAATGCTTGGAGTATCTCACAATCCTCCCGTACTCGTTTTCTCTTTGCTGGGGTTGCCTTGCCCTCTAGTGGTTCACACTACAGAGCTGAGTTCGTTTCTGCTGCAAGTCCTCTAACGTCGATGTTTTCAGCCGTTATGCAGCAAAGGAAATAATTCCAACTCCCCTTGATCTGCACTCATCTCTTAGTGCATCAGGCCATTAGTAAAATGTGCTGCCATCTGCGAAGTTAGAAAAGAAAATGCATAATGCCTACTGCCTTATATATTATATATATCACATCCTGAAAAAGAGCATCCTCTGTCCATCCAGACTGAAGAAATGTACTCATCAGGACATGAATATTTTTGGCTGAATAGCTCTTTCTTCAGCTTTTACAAAAAAAATTGTGGAAAAACACTACTTCATTTTTAAGATTAAAACTTTTGCCTAAGGGAGAAGTTCTCAGGAGGGAAGTAGATAAAAACCAAAAGCAGAATGATAGAAATCCCATCTGCTTATTAGCAACCTCCAAAGGGCTTCAAAAGATAAACGGGATGCATTTAGATTCCTGACATTGCCTATACCAACATGAATATGGACTATAACTTACTGTCCGTTTCCTTTGCATGCCCCCATGACACCCATTTTGACTTCTCTTTGGGCTCTCTCCAGCAGAGTAGCAAATTTTAATCTATTCCATCATCTCACCTAGAGACAACGTGAAAAATATCTGCTTCATTTCATTTTAGTACAAACTATTATCTTCTGTGACCAGTTTTATAGATGGAAGATACGATGTCTTTATCCAAACTTGACTTCTGATGCAGTTAATTACAGATTGTCAATTAATGACTGTCTGGCTTGATATCCTTTGTGTATTTATTAGCAACTCCCATCTGCTGGGCTCCAGAATTACCAGCTCTCCATAAAGGGAAAGACACACACATCTAGGAGCCGAGGGAGAAAAAACAGCAACTGTGAACTAGTTACTTGTCACTCAACAAGGTGCTTGGCTTTGATCAGTCATGGTGTCAAGGGAAATCTCCATGCTCAGCTGTCTTCAGGCACTTCTGTCTAGAAAGGCTTTTCCTGTGTTTATCTTGGTCAGTGCACATTGAATGACAGTGTAGTTTGTCTCCAAGTTAAAGATCTTCCAGTTCATTCTTTATGCACTTTCTACAAAGACAGAGAGGCAGCAGACAAATGTAAGGAAAAGCTGTTCACTTTAACTTTATAAAGAAAAATGTTTTCCAACTGTCAACCTCTAAAGAGCACCCCTTAGTATTAGAAACCACAAAATAGAAATTAATTACAAGACCTCTTTGCACTTGCATAGGCAGTATCATCATTCTAACAAACCTTCTCTTTTGCTTTGCTGCAGAGGCCATGGGCTGCTGGAAGCAAGAGAAAAGCAACACCTGGACTTTTCCCACCCTGATTCTCTGCCTCTATGGATTCTTCTACATGATGAAACCATCAGAACCTTTCCTAACACCCTATCTAACAGGACCAGATAAAAACCTGACCACAGATGAGGTATGGTTTTACTCTGATGCTTCTTTTACTTGGAGCAGCAAAAATAGAAAAGGAAAACTTTGTTTAAAGTATTTAAACAAAGATCAAAAGAAAAAAAGCATAACTGTAATCAGCTTTGGCAGGTTACAGTTTGCAGCAGACAGCATAAATAAAAGATCCATTTAATGGATCTAACATCCATTTGCCTGCCCAACAGTCCCATGTTGCTTCAATGTGGTTATATATTTTATGAATTCCTTCAGAGCAAAAACTTCCCTCTACAAAGCTATAAAAAATGCATGAACTTCCTTTTCCTGAGAATAAAGACACAGACATTTCCTCTTCTGCTCTAGGTTACCAACCAGATTTTGCCTGTTTGGACATACT